GCTCATGTTGGGGGAGGGGGAGACGGGGGAGGAAGAGCAGGAAGAGGAGGAGGAGGAGGAGGAGGGGAGGAGGCGAAAACCACGAACCGCCAGACGATCGAGGTGGTATCCAGTAATTCTGGCGCATCTTACAATTCGTTCTTCCAGAAACCTCTTACATTCCGCGTTCTCCAAACACCTCTTACATTCCTTATTGCTCGTTTACCGTTCAAGTGACGTAAGAACCAGTACCACCTGCACGACCACTTGTCCAAAACTAAGCATCACCGCGACTTCGTCAACTACCACCTGCGGCAACGCCAACACCAGCACCACTCGCACGGCCATTTTGGCACACTGCCGCATTTTGCAAGCAGTAACACAACGACTATGTCGACCTCAAGTTCTGCCTGGCACCGACGCGAGCGGGAACGACGAGCCACAGCACGTACACTACTAAGGGTTGCTTCAGCAAGTACTGTACTAGAGCAGTGCACCCAGCAGCAGCTCATCATGGCACGGCAGCTGCTCGACCAACATCAAAGTGCTCAATAACCACGTAGACCGACGAACAACGCATTGTCTGACTGCCCACAGACATCCCATGCCTAAGGCAAAGGCAACGGGAGTACCGACAGCAGCACAACCACGACAGGGGACACATGCCCACTTGGCAGTCCATAAGTTTTACCGACTCAGCAGACCATGGACCAGCAGACCACAGGACTTCAAGACAATCCAGCTTGCAGTATTACAGCGAGGCCTACCAGAAGCAAACCAGAACATCACAACCCTGGGAGCAACAATGACACGCACCGCGCCCACCTCGACCAACCATGACAAGACTCAAAAACAGAATCCGCTTACGCCTGCAGTGCGACGCGATGGCTACTTGCCGCAGCCCGTATTCGGAGCTGACCACGCTGCATACCCAACAGGAGAGAACCAAGCACTCACCAGGGCGACATTGGCATCGGCAACCAGCTGGTCGGGGCGAGCGCCCCCCGAGCCATGGCCGAGCACCTCCGTTCCTTCATGTGGCGCTTTGTTCGCAGACGAATGTTGTAGTGCCTGATTTTCTTGGCGGGGTGCGAGTTGCCTGGCCCGCAGATTATGATGCGCATTTTTGATGGATCTTTTGGCTGCGCTATTGGACTTGCTATCGTGGCGCCCAGGGGCCTCGCTGCATGTGCGCCGCGCGGGTTCCCGTGGAATCGTGCTGAGAGGTGCCCTCGCGCGACGACAAGGGCCGCGCATCGGTCCGCGCGTGTTCGAGCAAAGAAGCTCGTGCAGCTTGCCTTTTGCTAGGCAGTGGCAGCCATGCCACTCAAAACAGGAGCAAGCACATGGCAAACGTGTCGTCTGCTCCGTGACCAATAGCAGCAACGCTGTAGGCACTGGCTCGGAGCCTCTTTCAGTGACCAGCTGACCCGGCAGACTCGCTGCGCCCCTCTGACCCGGCAGACTCGCTTCGCCCGCCGTGGGCCAGAGGCAGGGCGCTCCGACGCGTCACGCTGCCCACAGCTCACGAGCAGCCTCCATACGCCGACGCACACGCGACTGCCCACTGCATCACACGACTGGTGCAGTCCAAAGACCCGGAGAGCGACGCAGTCTGCGCGTGAAACGCTTAGGGGGGGCGCTGGCGAGAGCGCTGACAAGCGCGCAGGGGGAGCAGGCAAGCTTGGACAAACGCTAGTGGGAGACGCCTGCCAGGGCGCTGGAAAGCGTGCCTGGGGAGCTCGCGAGCTTCTAGAAGCATGCTGCCAAGGAGCTTCGAAGGAGCTTCGAAGGACTTTCTGGAGAGCTTCGGGGCACGCGTATTGGGAACGAGTAGGAAAACGCTGGCCTGAACACGCTGCAAGTTCAAGCAAGGCGCTGCGAGGATGCCTGCCCAGGAGCCTTGGAGAGGAGCTGGCGTAGCCCTGCTTGCCGTCTTCTATTATGAAGCCCTCTTTCTTAGTTCTCCAAGGAGCTATCCGGGAACAGCTCAGACAATGGAAAGGCGCAGTAAGACAGCCCCCCCCACCACACAAACACACGCACGCACACGCACACGCACACGCACACACGCACCCACACAGCCCACCCACCGACGCAACCCAGACTGCCACCGACTCAATTCGAGCTTGTTGCACCAATTTCAGCCAATTTGAAATTACCACCCACGATGCGGTCAGTCGAGTTCACGACCATCTCAATCATCTGCCCACAGCACCTTGCAATCCCAGTCATACCATTGACGCACGCGGTCAGATCAACGATTGCATTGCAAATGCCGCACCCTATGGGCGACGCCTTCACCGACAAGACCCAACGTGCTCAGAGGCCTGAAGTCAGACATCGGCGAGGGTCACATCTACTACCGCGGCACGCAGTGCGTATTACATGAGCCACGCGAAGCAGAGCAGGTAGATTACAAACGCCCGGACATGACTCGCAGGCGCTGCGCGGCCCCCTCAACAGCATTTGGCCGCATACTTCCATGCACCGACTTCCGACCACGGCGACGCAACCCAGGCGTCACTCAGCACCCAAGGCAGCCACCGCAAACTATGCCAGTTCCTCAGCCCAAAGTGCCCGTGCCAGCGCCCGCGTCAGATGGCCACGGGACGCATACCTACTCAGCTTGACGTCGCCGCCATCACCCCATACCTGTATCTCACCTTACCTGAACCGGGGGGCTGGCAGGGAGATTTAATAGAGGGGAGTGGTGCGGCACTGCTGACGTCATAGCTTGCATCCTCCATTGGGCCGGTTTCTGTGCATGTGCTTTCCCCATGCCCTGCGGGCCCCGTGCCACCAGTAACTTTACGTCGCGCCGTCGCGAGCCAAACACATCCAGCAGCTACTCGGCTACGCTTGCTCGCGCATCTGCGCGCTACCTACAGCCATTTCACTTGTCATATCGTCCCATTACCCGTTTTACCTCTTGCCTTTCTCAGTCTCCCCAGAGGCCATCGGTTTGGTGCGGCACGATGCCTGCTTACCAAAGCCTGCACACATTTTGTCCCCTCTCACTTTCTATTGCCAGTGGCTTACTTTGCTTTCATGGGAAGTGGCATGGGGTAGTCGTGGTAGGGTTGTGAAGGGCCGTAGGGTTCACGAGCTGGCACTGGCACCATCAGTTCCGCCAGAGCGTAGAGGCCAGGGTGCATCGCCCGCTCCGCGCCTTTGTTTGCTCTTAAGCCAGGGTGTTTCGTCCGTTATTAATAGCAACCCTACACAGCCACTGCCACTTCGTGTCGTGTTCCTCCACCTCACGTCTGCGCACTCTCTCTGCTCGCTGCGCCGTGTACGTCGATCGTGTTTTTTTTCTATTTGTCCAAGTATCTGTCCTACAGCAGCACCCATTTGAGACGTGGTCACACGGGGCCACGGTTGCGCATTTTCCGTGGATGCGGGATGGGGGGGGTGATCGATGGGGGCTGGCTTTTGGAACAGGACATTCTATCCAGACGCAAACCAGCCCACAAAGGCCAGCGCTGACCAGCAGCATCTGTCCATGCAACGGCCATTGGACTAACAGCTTACCATCTCAACGGGGGGGGGTGGCGTGGACGAGGCATGGGCGGGTCATTTGCGGGGGGGGGCAGCCGGCACTGTCTATGCCAGACCAAGACAGCAGATCCCAACCAGGCCAGTTTGCATTTGCAGAACCAGCCTTCTACATCTGTATCATTACTTGCAGCTTGCCAACCCTGATGACAACTCAACTAGGTCAGCCTGCAGTGGCAGTGCTAGCCTACGGCCGACCGACGGCAGCATCGAACTCCTATTTACTTGATAGCTCTATGACGTGCGCCGTGTCTTGCTTCCTGCAGGTCAAACGCACTAGGTCAGCCTGCACCTGCAGCGCCACTTAGTAGTAGCAACGCCTTGTCCAATACCGCCGATTTCTTTGCAGCATTCTACTTGGGGTGGGGGGTCGGAGTATGGTGGTAGAGGTTTCTGCTGCCACGCGCTTACCAGTTTGATCCCGTCAGTCCCCACAGCAAAATCCCAGCTGTAGAAAGCTTATCGTGCCCATTTTGGCAAGTCGGCAGGGGAGAGGCTCACATTACAAGGCCCTTCCCACCGTGGCCTACCGACAACTTGAGACCCTATCTGGTATTGTTGCACAGCCAACTTCAAGCACTGATTTCTTCAGCCCGTTGTGTCACAGCCTGCAGTTCTCGGGCCCGCCAGTATAGCTCGTGCCAGCTCATACGCACAGCTTATGTTTTTTGATACCGTACCTTACCTTGGGAAGTAGCGGTGGTCGGCCTGACATCGGATGATGGACGGGTATTGCCAGAAGTGGCAACACCCTCTGTAGTTTCTTTGGGGAGAATAGGACACGACCTCCCCCAGTTATTGCATCAGTGGTGCCGCCTGCAAGTGTAGCTAGACTCCGACTCATTGGACGTATTCCTCTAGTTCAGGTGCATAGTATCTTGTACGGTTGTACCTCCTTCCTACATTACACTGCCGCGCATTTGGTTATTCCTGCTCTGTCTGGCCTGTAATGTTTTATATTCGTTTCAGGTCTATGTGCGCCACTCTATCTTCACATGTCTGCGGCAAACATTGATTTGCTCACTTTGCCTGAGTCGGCCATCCAGTATTCATACCCGAATAACGCTACAGCCTCAGCAGCTGACGTCGGTCTGACTTAAAATGAGGAGGCGAAGGTGGAATGAGTATGATGAGTAGGGAGGAGAAGGGAGGAGAAGGGAGGAGAGGGGAGGAGAAGGAGGAGGAGGAGGAGGAGGAGGGGGAGGAGGAGGAGGAGGAGGAGGAGGAGGAGGAGAAGAAGGAGGAGGAGGAGGGGTGGAGGAGGAGATGGAGGACAAGGAGGATGATGAGGAGGGCGGGAGGAGGAGGATTTGGAGGAGGACGACGTGGAGGGCAGAACGGATCTGCAGCTAGTTCCGGTCAATGGGCGGGCTGGACCAGAAGGCTGCCGCAGGCCACCGAAGGCCGCCGACGGTTGCCGAAGGCGTCGACTGCTGTCAGCGCGCCCTCCGCGCGCGACCGAGGAGCGCGCGGTGAGGCTGAACGAGGCCCTGCAGGACACCGCCGCGCGCCACCCGTGCGACCGCGGGGTGGGACCCCCTGGATGGCTGCGCGGCGGGTTCGAGAGGCTCGAGGCTCGAGGCTGCGAGGATCGAAAGGTCGAGACTTAGAGGCCTCGAGGCTTCGAGGATCGAGGAGTTTCCTGGAAAGGGCTTGGGCCCAGTTTTTTTTTTTTTTTTTTTTTTTTTTTTTTTTTTTTTTTTTTTTTTTTTTTTTTTTTTTTTTGTTTTTTTTGTTTTTTTTGTTCTTATATATATATATATATGTGTGTGTTCCACTGTCCCCGGTGGCATGTTCGAAGAAGACCAGCGAGTTTCCGCCCTTGTCTATTCTGCATCATTGTTCATTCCAAATATCGAGCCGTTCCATGCCAACCGAGGTGGTGTCGCATCCGCATCCACCCTTGTGAGTTAACACCATGTGGTGCGCACGCGTTGACATAACCATCATTTGTTTGTCATGATTCCTCAGTACCCCTTTTGGCTCAAGGTCATTGTGGCTCAGGCTCAACGAAGAAACGAAGGAACCCCGCGAAGTTTACGGATCGACAGAGGCTGTGCCCCAGGACGTTTTATTTACGTTTTTCGACCGCGCGTGTCAAGTGCGGGGAACTCAAGAAAGCAAAGGTACCGCTGCTCGCTGGACCGCTCCCTGGGGGGCGTTCTGATCAGGATTTCGAGGGGAATCCAGCCGTGGCGACGGGGGTCTCCCAGGAGGCCCCGAGAAGCAAACACGAAGCATCTGGAACTGCACCCTGGCTCCGGAGCCGCCGCACTTTGGGCGATTTCGCAAGTAGGGCGTAAATTCCCGTCCTGTTTTTCGAGCCCCTTTGATGCCGATTTCCGCCCTACTTTGCCGTGACTGTTTCCGCCAGACCTCTGCGGATATATCCGCGCTCTTTTCTCAGAGGCGGAAGTTCCCGCCCTGCTGTGTCGCATGTTTTGGGATGCTTTTCGGAGACAGTTTCAGGTCGGAGCGTCAACTCAAATACAGTCAAGGCTCTGAGCTAAGGACCGCTTTGGTCTCAGGAGTGGCTCGGATTTTCGGGCCTCTCCTCAGATTCGTGTCGTGGAACCTGTTTGTGGCCTAGGCTCGCCGTGGGCAGAAAAGCCCCTTCGTTCCTTTTTCTGCGTTCCTTATGGTAGCACGTTGACTTTACGGTGTACGGTGGGTTCGGCTCGCGTCGACTGGCGGCGACCACGCCGCCGGCGTTCACCTCTGAACGCCGTCGGCGACCCAGAATCTGTCGGAGTTGAATGATCTGACGTTTCGGAGACGGCCGATCGTTCAAGGTTGAACGCTCCCCGTGGTGTCAGAATCGGCGGCGAGCGAGGGGGGAAGTGAGAAGGAGAAGGCCTTCTCAGAAGGCGGCGGGACTTCTCAGAAGCCCTCGCGCCTTCTGAGAAGTTGTTGTTTGTCTTCGGGGAAGGCTTAGAAATCTTCTCAGATGGCCGGGGGACTTCCGAGCCTTCCGAGAAGGCTTTCTCCTTCTCCCTTCCCATCCGCGCTCGCCGCCGACAGAAGCCAACGCCGAAGCCGGTGCAGTGGAGGCCCATGCCAAGAAACACCCTGCTTGCCTCCAGGGTGCACTGGATTTTTTGGGGTTTCGATGGTTCTGCTACGGAAAGCGCGACGTTCCCACACACAAAGAATCCATGGAGGTCCTGGCGTCTCAGGGTTGGGTCTCTTGTGGAAGCTTCCCCTGCGGAAGGGCCCCCTACTGTACGACGCGGACCTGCCATGCAGTCAGGGCGCTGACAGTGAGGACCGCTTTGGGTTCGCAAGGGGCTCGCTGCTCCTTCGGTCCTTCCGGAGCCGTTCCTCGAGCCCTCCTCGCGCACCCAGGCGTTTTTGTTGGCGCGCAAAAAGGGCTCCCTTCCGCAGCGTTACGTCGGGCATGTCCATCTACAGGCGAGATAATCAAGAGCATTATAACATAGAACATCGTCTGGAGATGTTTTTTGTGTACAAAACAGCATGCTTGGTTTTTGTTTGAATATGTCTGACTATTTGTTATTTTTCTCCCAGAATCGGCCTGTTGGAGGACAGGCCCGACCTAACCTTAGTGTTCCTGAGTTCAACAGCCCTGCTGTACAGCGGCGGGGGTGGGGAAGCGTTGCTGCAAACCCGTCGCTCCCGCCTGTGCGAAACCTTGCAGCAACGCTGCTCCTCCTCCGTAGTCATTTGCTTCAGAGGTCCCACAGAGGGCCGTGCTAGCAGCATACCGCGAACTGTGCACCAGCGTTGAGTCTAGTAAAAAAAAAAGTTGTCAGTCAGGGTGCCCTGGTAGGTCGGCTTGGACCCTTGCCTTCGGTCATCTTCGGTCCATCTTCAACCGCTTTCGGTGGCCAGCCCCGCTCGAAGAGCCTCGGCATGAGCGCCCAAGGCCTTTGCATCCTTACCGCGCATCCTCATTATTATAGGGTGCCCTGGAATCGGGCGACGAAATCTATACATACCTATACGACCACCCTTCGGGTGGTAAGGAGGTTCGAGGGGGGCAGGGAAAACCCACGGACAATAACTGCGATGACTGTGATGGCGATGAGATGGAGCCATCGGTCGTACGAATTTCATAATCGGTCTCGCCATCGCTCTCACTATCGCTTTCGATATCGGTCGCACCATCGATCTAACTTTCGATCTCACTATCGATCTCAATGTGGATCTCATAAGAGATCTCACTATCGACCTCACAAGATCTCTCACGAGACAACATCAGGACACCACGATGGGGCACCCCCAGCCACGGCGGGGCACTCCCAGCCAAAGATATCTTGTGATCGATCTCACTGTCGATCTCAACATCTATATTTCGATCTCACTGTCACGATCGATCATAAAATCGATCTCACTTTCGATCTCACTGTCGATCTCACAAGTGATCTCACGAGCTACCATCGAGACACCACGGCGGGACACCCCGCGCCACCGACGGGACACCGATGGGACGCCGACGCGCCACCGACGGGACACCCCCCCGGCCACCGCGCGCCGGGGAGGGGAGGGGCGGACAACTGGCTCCGCAGCCCCCAGCCTCGGCGGCATCTTTGCTCTCGCGCGCCCGCGCGGCTTCGCCTCGCCCGCACGCACGGCACGGCCACTCAACGGAAGCCGAGTTCCCGGCGGGGGGCTCTCCGCTCCGCTGCGATTTCACCTGCCCGGCCTCCGATCCACAGCTGCCTGGCTGGGCCCTTCCAGGGGCCAGGAGCTGTGTAATTATACGCCCTCCTGCCCAGGCCCAAGCCAGGAGGGCGTGGCCTGTCCACCCCTGCGGGGTTCAGCAGGCGCCTGGCCAGGGAGCAGCGGCTCTGTGCAGATTTCGTCGCCCTCTGGCACGGCAGGCTCGCGTCGTGTCGACCAGCGGCGACCCCGCCGCCGACGCTCAGCGTGGCGCGCCGCCAGTGGCCCAGAGCCGGCCAAGACGGCGGCGGCATTGGATCAGGAACGCCTCCCCGGGGCCCAGACCCTGGCGCGCATTCCTTTCTTGCTTCAGGGCGAGGTGGGCGGCCCGCGTTTGGCCACCCATCGGTCGCGAGCCTATCATCTCATCAGAGGTATCCTAGTATCACCAGAGGCATCCTATCATCATCATCATCATCATCATCATCATCATCATCATCATCATCATCATCATCATCATCATCATCATCATCATCATCATCATCATCATCATCATCATCATCAGAGGTATCCTATCATCACCAGTCGCGCTGGGCTCCTCACCGGAGGCATCCTATTCTCTCGAGCCTCCACCGCACGGAACGACACTGGCCGTCGGAGGTCCGCCGCTCCCTCGAGGCCGCACGCTCCCCGCCGCGGTTGGGCGCCAGCGCTGGGGCCGCCGCGGCGCGCACCCGCCGCAGGTCGCCGCCGGGCCCGGCGCGGCGGGGGGGCCGAGGGCGCGGGGCCGCCCCCGCGCGCCCGCGGCCCCGGCGCGCAGGAGCGCACCCGGCGCGCGGAGGCGGCGGAGCAGAGGGCCGCCGCGCTGGAGCGGGAGCTGGCGGCGGCGCGGCGACGAGGCGCGCGGCCCTCGCCATCAAGTCGGGCATGTCCCGCTGCGGGAGGAAGGCGTTCAGGAGTCGGTTTTTCGTGCTCCTCTGACCACGCTTTTTTTGTTTGGGCTGCTTTTCAGTTTTCTTCGAAAGCCCGCCTGTAGGAGGACAAGCCCGACCTAACCTTGCCAGCTCGTCGGAAGAGGAAAAGGTTCAGGAGGGGGAAAAAACACACAGACACAATTCGTCGTCCAGAAGATATGGAAAGTATAAGAAGTGTAGGGGAAGACACAAATCCCCAACACATGGGAAACTATGGGGTATCCTGCCATTCGTGCCTATTTATTTGTGCCCCTGGGCCCCTGGGCCCCTTCAAAGGTACGGTGGCTTCGCGTCGTGTCGACCGGCGGCGACCCCAGCGCGGGCGTTCAAGGTTGAACGCCGCCCGTGGCCCAGAATCGGCCTGTCGTGGAACGATCTGGCGTTCATTCCGACGAAGGCATCTATACACCACCACCGTGCCAGGCCAGGGCCGTTCTGGGTCCCGGGATGGTGTATAGACCCTCTTGGCCTCGGCCAGGAGGGCGTATACACCATCCTGGGGCCCAGGATGGCCCTGCCTTGGCACGGTGGTGGTATATAGAGGCCTTCTGCGAATCCATGGAACATTCGATCGTCCAAGTGTGAACGATCCCCGCGGTGTCAGGAACCAACGCCGGGGTCGACGCGACGCGACGCCGACACCCGACACGACGAGGCGCGGGCCTCCTCTGCAGCTGCAGGGCCCGCGCCCTCTCGGGAGCAGCCTCCTCCTATAGGAAGCTCTCCCCCCTCCCTCCACTTCCTTCGGCGCGCCGCCGACAGGGGCATCCGTACAGTGAAAGCCTTGAGTCGGGACACTTACTCTTCAGAAGGGGCTCGGTCGTGCTTTGCCTGCGTTCCGCTGCCTGTTCGGCGGCGAGCCCCCCCGGTGTTCCTCACGATTTTGGACGCGCGGGTTCGTGTTTTCGGTCGGGGCGGACGGTCTAAGGAACGGGCCTCGCCTCCGAGGCTGCTCGACGCCCTGCTCCGGCGGAGGCCGCCGCGGGGCGGGGCGGGCCGGCTCCGCCGCCGGAGGCCCACGAGGGGGAGAGGGCGGGCGGAGGCCGGCGGGAGCAGGCGGCTCGCTCGGGTCGTTGTTACCGGGCCCGCCGCAAGGCATCCGAGTGATATGTCAAGGTTGTATCAACTCATCTCTCTCTCTCTATATATATACATATAAGAGTAGGAACATATAGAATAGAAAGATAAAAGTAGAAACAAGTAGAAGACTCGTCCGGGGACTTGCCGGCGCTTTCGAGCAAGAAAGGTACAACGACGACGGCATGGCGCGAGAGTCCCCCCCCCGGGTCCCACTTCAACGTGCATCCGAGCGAGCGGGCCGCGGTTTGCAAGCGCGGGCGCTGTTTTCGAAACGACTCGCGCTCCCCCGCGTCGACCACCCCGAGCTTCGAATTTGGGGCAGGGGACATTGGGCCCGCTCCAACGCGCATTAGAGATGGGCGTTTTTTCCCTTTCTCGAAAACCACGGTAGGGGGGGGATGTAGGGACTTGGATGATATGGCTGTCGTTTTTGGTCTCTCGTAGGTAGCTGGCGGCCCCCTTGGCTCTGGAGGGGGCTGTGGCGGCTGCCCCGCGTAGTGCCACCCGTCACCAGGGGTGAGGGCGCTCAGGGGTGGGATTTTGGAGCCCGAGGCGTGGCTTTCTGGCTCTTGTGCTTCTGCCCCGGGGCACCCTTGGGGCTCACTGCATCTTTCCAGCAGCAAGTGCCCGCGCCGAGGCATCGGTGGGCCTCCAGGCTAGCCCACCGCAAAGCTTCCAGCCAACGGTTCAAGGGCGACCTAAAAAAGAAGTAAAAGAGGAGGAGGGGGAGGAGGAGGAGGAGGAGGAGGAGGAGGAGGAGGGAGGGAGGAGAGGGAGGAGGAGGAGGAGGGAGGAGGAGGAGGAGGGAGGAGGAGGAGGAGGAGTGAAAGCGATTACAGAGCCGTCCTCCTCCTGAAGGGCACGCAGGGGCGGGGCTGGAGCACGAGGGTGCCCATCTGCCTCTGCTGGCTCTTCGTCGGGCCTCTGGTTTAGCACAGTGCCCCCCTCCTCCTCCTCCTCCTCCTCCTCCTCCTCGTTGTCCTCCTCCTCCTCCTCCTCCTCCTCCTCCTCCTCCTCTACCAGCGCCGTCCTCAGGGCAGCCTAGAGCCCCACACGGGATCTCGATTCGATCATTGGGGGCAGTGCGCGTCAGGTCAGGACGTAAAGATATCCCCCCAAGAGATGACGACGCTCTGATTCAGGGTTTCTGGCCGCAGCCATATGCACCCCCTGGGGAACCGGTCTTCCTGGACCTCGGCAGGCGACGGATACGGATGTGGTCCAGCCCCCCAGGACATGAGTTTGTCCCCGTGCACCAGCCCCCTTTGGGGGTCCTGGGAGGTAGGCCGGTTCCCCAGGCGGTGGATATGCGAGACCCTCCGACTTGCTGGGGTGCAGAGCCAGTCAAGATTCGGAGGCGCGACGCCGGCGGCCTCCGAAGAGGCCAGGAGGCTCAACGGAAGCCCTGCCTCCTTGCCGAAGGGGCTGTCTTAGAAGCACCCAGGCCCTTCCAAAGAGCCCCCTGCCTTCTTAAAAGGCTACCCCTTGCTCCACCCCCCAACCCCTTGTGAGCGCCGCCACAAAATACAGAAGCCGCGCGCGGTTCAGCCAGAATAAGCACCTCGCTGTTTTGATTTTTGCTCGCGTCTCTTTGCGCGCGATCTGGTGCCTACATATCTCGTTATTTGGAGCAACGCAAGCACTGCATTGACGATTCCACTTGAACGGCTGGGTGGGATGCAGCCGTAGTGGTGCGAAGCGTGCCGACTTGAGCCATGTCCCAGGACCTTCCGCTGCTTTCGGTGGGTGCCTCATCGGGGCCGCGGGCTGGGGAGTGCTATGAGAGTTGTTGCTCAGGAGTTGCCACGCTGGTTCAGTCGCGCACAGGATTAGCCCCACCACCCAGGGATGCGTAGATGCAACTCGGCATGGGACTCCGACTCCGCCCGACGATGGCCCTGATCCCAGTCGGTCGATCTATTTTTCCCCACCGTGCTGTCGTGTTTTGTCCTTGTTTTGAAGGGCCGCGTCTCCTCTCCTTCCTCCTCCTCCCCCTCCTTCTCCTTACCCAGTACAGCGCTGCGTGGCCCCATTGGGAAGTTCCTCCGAAGGCCACAGTCGCTGTGATCACATGCGTCCGCGCCACCCAGCATAGCGTTTCGTAGCCTCATAGGGAGCTCTACCGAAGGCCCCAGAGGTTGTGATCACACGCGCTCGCGTCACCCAGTACAGCTTTTCGTGGCCCCGTAGGGAGCTCCATCGAAGGCCCCAGTGGCTGTGATCACATGCGTCCGTGCCAGCCAGTGCAGCGTTTCGTGGCCGTGTATGGAGCTCCACAGGCCCCAGTGGCTGCGATCACATGTGTCCGCGCCACCTAGTGGCCCCATAGGGAGCTCCATCGAAGGTCCCAGTGGCTGTGATTACATGCGTCCGCGCCACTCAGAACAGCGTTTCGTGGACCCAAAGGGAGCTCTATCGAAGGCCCCTGTGGTTGTGATTGACCGCGCAAAGGCGCCCACTCAAAGGCGTCCACGGCCGAGCGGGCGCCGCAAGGGCCCGACAAGATTATCGCTTCTTGCGCGCGCAGGCGTTTTATTTTGCGGAGCTCGGCGCCCTGGCGCGAACGGCCGGACGACCCCCGCCGCGGGACACTTGGGTAAACACGGTTGACCGCCACAATCTTTGGTTTACAGCTGACCGCGCAAAGGCGGGGCCAAACATAAGGTGCAGCGCGCAGCTCGCGCGCGCCGAAGGCATTTTGGAAGTGCCCTCGTCGCGCCGCAAGGGCTCGACACAATTATCGGCGTTTCATTTTGCGGAGCTCGGCGCCCTGGCGCGAACGGCCGAACGACCCCCGCCGCGGGACACTCTGGTAAACACGGTTGACCACCACAAAATTCTTCGGAGTGCAGCTGACCGCGTAAAGGCGGGGCCAAACATAATGTGCAGCGCGCAGCTCGCGCGCGCCGAAGGCATTTCGGAAGTGCCCTCGTCGCTTTCATTATGCGGAGCTCGGCGCCCTGGCGCGAACGGCCGAACGACCCCCTGTCGCGGGACACTCTGGTAAACACGGTTGGCCGCCACAAAATTTCTCGGTTTACAGCGTTTCGTGGCCGTCTATTTTATGGAGCTCCACCGAACGCCCCAGCGGTTGTGATCACATGCGTCCGCGCCAGCCAGCGCAGCGTGTCGTGGCCCCTATTGGGAAGTTCCTCTGAAGGCCCCAGTCGCTGTGATCACATGCGTCCGCGCCAGCCAGTGCAGCGCTTCGTGGCCCCTGGGGGGGGTCCGCCGAAGGCCACAATGACTGTGATCACATGCGTCCGCGCTAACCAGCGCTTCGTGGCCCCATGGGGAGCTCCATCGAAGGCCCCAGCGGCTGTGATCACATGCGTCCGCGTATTATTCGACGCGCCCTTGATATGGATGCCGCGCAGCCGTGCAATGCATTTTGGCCGCCAGCGCCCTCCTCGCTCCCAGTGTCGTAACCAGAGCTGGCCAGTCTACTTCATTTTCGCCTTCGGATCCTGCGGAGATGGGTCACAACACAGTGAAGCCGTAATACAGTGTGTTGCTGAAGTGTAGCGTTTGATCATTGTGGTTACTCTTCTTTTCCTTCCCCTTCGCCTCTGCGTCCTTCCCTGTCTGCTCCTCCTGCAGACGGCTGCTCGATAAGACGCGTGCATATAGCATGCTGTTTCGAGTGTGTTGCGTCACTCTGTCCGTAGCCGCGATGGCTAAAACAAGTTTTATTCCAAACGAACGTGTTGCGATAGCCTGTTTGCATCCTGCCACGGAGTCTTAGTCACAGCAGTCCGTGCTAAAATTGAATCAAGCCCCGGCCCAGCGGAAAGTGGAACGAACGATCCCCAGTCTGGCACTCTGGCACGAGCTAGTCGCAGCAGCAGTGAAAACACCCCAAGGGCCAACTGCGAGGTGAGTGCGAACGGATCGGCTGTGTTGCTGTAATCCGAGTTGCCTCGTGCATTCGTGCGCGGGTGCATCAGCGATGGGTAGCACCTGAGAGCACCAGCACTGCCACTGTCGACTCTCATGTCCATACGTGCACTCATTGGCCATCATCGCCGTAACGCATCGTATGCATGTCCCCCTTCACATTTCCTCACGCACACATTCTTTGTTTATGACCGCATCATGTTTGTGACTTCCGTAGATAAGCTGCATAAGCAATCCTTCGGCGGTCTGCGCAGCTCTCTCTCGGGTCGGCGCTGGACCCCCTGGCGCGCGAGGAGCGTCGGGAGCGGCGCCCGAGGCGCAGCCAGCGGGCGTCCAGCGCCGACCCGGGAACGACGCACCGGCCCCTGGAGCAGTCTGCGTGCAGTGCCGCTGGTATTTCCCCATTCCAGATTCAGGAGGGGAAAAAACACACACAGACACAATTAATCGTCGATTCCCACGGAAACATGGGACAATATGGGAAGTGGGGGGGAAGACGAAAACCCAGAAAATATTGGGAAATATGGGGAATCATTTTATTTGTGTGTTTTTGTTTGTGTGTCCCAGGGCCCCTTCACAGATGTGCGACAACATGTCCCAGGCCCGCTCGCAGGGGCGCGCAGAGGATCCGTGCTGCGCGCACCGCGGCCCGGGCTGCAGAGCTGCCCCTCCCCGAGGGGGTGCCAGCGGGAGAGCGCGAGGGCGCGACGATGACCGCTCGTTCGGTGACCTGGGCCACTCTCTTTTGGCATGTGGGGCGTCCCAAGAAGGGCCTCGCCTGCGAGGATCGGAGGGGTTGCCACCTCTTCCGCGGCGGAAGGCGGCGGATGGGCGGCGGAAGGTCGGCGGAAGCAAAACGAGGCCGCCTCCGCCGGCGGAAGCTCGGCGGAAGGCGGCGGACGCAAGAAGTTGTCCCCCCAGCGACGAACACGCTTTTGGGTTCAGGGTCTCCGAGCTCGCTCACGTACGACACCGTGTCCCGTTCCGTCCCTGGAACACCGCCCCGCTGCATGCCCCCCGGCAGCCGCAGGCCCCGACGCCGAGGCCGACGACGGCTGGTGCCACGTGCAGGCCCCGCCCGCCGGGGCGGCCCGCGGGCTGCCCTCTGTCCGTTTCGCACCGCCGCGGGCTGCGGGCCCACGGGGGGTCCCACGGTCGCGGAGTGCGATGCGATGCAGTGGGAGCTCGACCACAGGAAGCCCGCCACAAGGAAAAAAACCCGCCCTGGGACCCCAGGACGTCCATCGGTTTTTCGCGTGGGAGCGCCATGCTCTCCACGGCAAGACCAGCGGAACCCGAGAAGTTCAGGGCACCCTGGAGGCAAGCAGGGTGCTTCTTTAGAGGGAAGAAACATGACGTAAACATAAGAACTCGCAGGTCCGCGCGGGTTTCTCGGATCCGCGCTGGACACCCCTGGCGGTGCCTCCGGCGCCGCGCCTGGCGCGCTCAGCGCGCCAGGGAGGGGCGTCCAGCGCCGATCCGAGAACTCCGCGCGGACCTCCGCTTTTTTCCCAACCATTCTTGGTTGGGTATTCGTTTTGAATAGAGCACTGCGGTCGCGTCCTCCTCCTCCTCCTCCTCCTCCTCCTCCTCCTCCTCCTCCTCCTCCCGCCTCCCGCCTTCTGCCTCCCGCCTCCTGTCTCTCGCGAGACCTCGCCGTCCGTGGGGGGGGGGGGCTGCGATCTGCGAAACTGTCGCCACTTTCGAGGGCTGCTGGTGGGTCCAGCGGAGTGAGGCACCGCGCAGACCTGAGCGGGACCTCGCCGTCCCTGGGGATCTGCGATCTGCGACGCTGTCGCCACTTTCGAGGGCTGCTGGTGGGTCCAGCGGAGCGAGGCACCGCGCAGACCTGAGCGGGACCTCGCCGTCCCTGGGGATCTGCGATCTGCGACGCTGTCGCCACTTTCGAGGGCTGCTGGTGGGTCCAGCGGAGTGAGGCACCGCGTAGACCTGAGCGAGACCTCGCCGTCCCTGGGGGTCTGCGATCTGCGACACTGTCGCCACTTGCGAGGACTGCTAATGCATCCAGTGGAGTGAGGCACCGCGCGGATCTGAGCGGGACCTCGCCGTCCCTGGGGATCTGCGATCTGCGAAACTGCCGCCACTTTCGAGGGCTGCTGGTGGGTCCAACGGAGTGAGGCACCGCGCATGCGTCGTCGCGTGGGAATTTAGGTTCGAGGGAGCCACGTCATGTCGTTGCTGCCCCGCCGACGTTTCAACCTCGTTGCCCGCCTTCTCCGTTTGGACCTTGCCTTAGTGATTCAGGGGTTCACTTAGATACTCATCTCTACCACGCTTTTTCCCTGATCGGGGACTTGCGAACCTCCCGAATGCCGCTCGCAGAAGTACATGCGTCCATGTCACGTCGCCGCCCTCTCACCAACTCTCCCAAGCTACTCCGGCCTTGCCCTGCGCAGGGGTTGGGTACGTCGCCAGGGTAATCTTCTGTTCATGCCATTCCTTGCGTTCCCCCATCCTTGGCATGGCTTCTCCACTGCAGCAGCGGCTTGCGCCCATCCTTGGGTCCCCCCCCCCTCCGCGCCCCGCCTCGAGCCGCGCGCTGGCCGCCCCTCTTGCCCAGGGTCGCTCCCGAGGCCAGCCCGCCCGAGGGGGCAGCCTCGCCGCACGCCGCCATCGATGGGGAACGCACATGATGACACCAGCGTGACGCCTCGGAGGTCCGCGCGGAGTTCTCGGATCTGCGCTGGACCCTCCTCCACGGCGCGCGGAGCGCGCCGGGGGCGGCGCGGGAGGCGCCGCCAAGGGGGCCCCAGCGCCGATCCGAGGAACCCGCGCGGACCAAACAGTTTTTTTTTAATGATTGTGGCATTGTTTGGCCCCCTTAATCGAGGAGGAAACAGTTTCTTCGTGAGCGGCGAGGCGGCGAACTCCGCACCCGCGTAGCAGCTAGGTCGGTGCACTAACTGGCGAATTAGCCGGCGTGCGAGGAGGGAGAGGGGGAGGCCGACGAGGGGAAGGGAGGGACGCTCAGACGCCGAAGCATTCGACGACGAGCAGCCGGCGGGCGGCAGCAGCCAGGCGCGCCGGGCCAGAGCGCGGCCCCGGCGATCGAGGAGCAAACAGCCGCATCCTCACAACGCCGTGGAGGTTCGCGCCGGTCTCTGGGGCTGCCCCTCTGGCGGCGCCCGGGGCTCCGCCGCTGGCGCGATCCGCGCGCCAAGGGAGGGGGGGTCCAGCGCCAGGTCCTCCTCCTCCTCCTCCTTCTTCCCTCCTCCTCCTTCCCTCCTCCTCCTCCTCCTCCTGCTCCTCTCCTCCCTCCTCCCTCCTCCCTCCTCCCTCCTCCCTCCTCCCTCTCCTCCTCCTCCTCCCCTCCCTCCTCCCTCCTTCCTCCTCCCTCCTCCCTCCTCCTCCTCCTCCTCCTCCTCCTCCTCCTCCTCCTGTTCCTCCAGACCTCCGAAAGTTGATGTTTGTGAAGTTTCTTCCTCGTCGCCACCTCCGGCCACGGCCACGGTGGGCTCCTGCGATATTGGCCGCGCGTGCATCTACATCGATGATCCTCAGGACGTGGGTCAGGCCAATGCGTGTTTGCCCTGGTCGGCCTGCGTCGGCTCTCGTTACAGCACCGTCGTATTGAAGGGCTTCGGTGAACCAGCCCACGTTGGCGCGAACACACGTACTGAGGATGATCAGCTAAATTACCGCACGGACGGTTCCGTATCACTGAAGCTGGACCCCTCCGACGTGGGAGTGATGGGGCGGTGCCTGCCGCCGCTGCAGAGTCCAGCGAGAGCGCCTCTGGCGAGGACATCAACGACGCCGAGACCACCACGCTGGGCAGGCAAGCGGAGGTCTCGCGGGCCAACGACTCGGCCGACAGTTTTGAATCTTACTTCGAAGAAGACCCTCTCCTGGGAGAGGGAAAGGGGGGGACGTTCTCACAGGTGAGGCGGGTTAACTTCAATGTGAGGCTCATTTCCCAACTGGCGGAGCTCGAGGGCATGATGCAGAATTTGCCTTCTCAGATTCGTGGGGGGCATCGGCCCTTGGCAGCACCTACAACCTTGGCAGAGGGCAGGGAAAGGGCGACGCAGAGACCCGCACCTTCTTGTCAAGTTGAAGCGCCCGATCAGACAAGCAGACGCGATGGGCCAGCCACCAACGACACCTCATATTGTTGCCACACTGGCGTCTCTTTTTGGCAAGCATGCACCCGCACCAGCGGCAGCAAAGCCAGAGGCCAGTCCGAAGTCCACGCTGCCCAGCCCCGAGGCTCAAGATCTTCTTAAACCCATGGGGATCAGCACCAGTATTGCCAGCCAGCTCCGTGAAGGAGAGGACGCTCGACGCAGAGGCACCACCCATCATCGCGTGCCAGGACCGCGGCGTGTACGACGCAGCGCTAAGGTGGTTTTGAGGCGGCTCTGGGGGAGGAGCAGTCGAGGATCACGTACATCCTTTTCAGTCAGAGACTGGCACTTGATAGATGGGCCGAGCAGGAGATCCCCATCGAGAACCCCACAGGCGGTGCCTCCAAAACGCAGACCTTGGTCAGGCAAGCTGGCGCCAAGGCGCCCTCCCTTGGTGCAGCGAGCGCAGCAGATTGTTGCATTGAGTCACTGATCCTCAGTGTGGTCATCTGGAGGGTAGCTGCGCGTGTCGGGTCTGGAAGGCACTGAGAAGTGGTTTGGGATCGGGAAGGGGATTCCGGGGATTACAGTCGAAGCCTATGATAAGGATGGGCAACCTTCCCACGGGTACCGTTGTATCCTTGCCTCTTCGGTCAGGCCTTAACCACTTTCGATGGCTAGCCCCGCTCGAAGAGCCTCGACATGGGCGTACAAGGGGCTTACATCCTTACCGCGCATCCTCACTATCAGTTATGACTGTTGGCTGCAACTCCTATGAGGTTGAATTCAGCATCGGCCCTGGTATCTCGTTGGTATTAATATTGCGTCATCCGATTCGATGCTGCCTCCATCTGTTTCGATCTGACTTCATTCGGGGCCTGATCTGGCTTAGTCCAGCTTCATGCCCCCTTACTCTGGCCCAGTCTATTCGAATCTGGCCTTGCCAGATATACTCGGGATGAGGAAACTCGTTCCAGACTGTCGAGGGAAACCATGAGCGGATATTCAAAAATTAAAAGTTGGCACGCGCGGGGAAAACTGCGGTCGAAGCGCAACTCAATAGACCCACCGCCAGCTCTGATCATTGGGGGCGGGGCACTGACAGATGACTTTGGCAGGAATGCTCGCTAAGTTCTTCCGAGGCCTGGAGTGCTCTGGAAAGCTCCAGAGCCTTCCAGGCCCGTTTCTGCACGACCGCGGCCCCCGCCGGCTCTCGGGGACTCCCGATTCTGCAGGTTTTGTGCGCAGTGCCGCCGACCCTGAAGGGGGACGACGAGGAGGAGGATGATAATGAGGAGGAGGAGGAGGACGACGACGACGACCACGACCACGACGACGACGACGCCGACGACGATGACGACGATGACGACGCTGGCCGCGGCGGCGGCAGCGGCCGCGGCGGCGGCAGCTCTCAGGGATTCCCGATCTACGGTCGGGAGCTTCTGTTTGGCGTGTCGCGCCGCCGGTTCTGGCCCACCGCGCCTCGGCGCGACAAGCTAGCCACGAGGATCGAGGAGGATCGAGGAGGATCGAGGAGGATCGAGGAGGAGGAGGAGGAGGAGGAGGAGGAGGAGGAGGAGGAGGAGGGGGGGGGCGGAGGAGGAGGATGGAGGAGGAGAAAAGAGGAGGAGTCCCTACTTCCAAGCGCGTCCACGGTCCCCAGAGCTGTTCCCACCCCGCCACCCCCGCGAGGCGGAGCGCACGCTCTCCCCCGCTGACATCCGTACGCGCAGGACACGCGGCGTGTCGCCGGGGCCGCCGCCGCGACGCGCGACGCGAAGAGTTCCTGGCCGTAGAGGTCTCGCAGAGGTCCTCCTTCCCCTCCTCGATCCTCCTCCTCGATCCTCCTCCTCGATCCTCCTCGATCCTCCTCCTCCTCCTCCTTCTCCTCCTCCTCCTCCTCCTCCTCCTCCTCCTCCACGCGGCGCGAAGAGCTCCCGACCGCAGAGGCCCCGACCCCCTGCCCGGGGCCAGTTTTTCGACCCCGATATCCATTCTTGTGGGTCGTCTCGTGTGGGGCCCGGCCGCGGGCTCCGGGGGCCTGGGCTTCAGTCGGGCATGTCCCTCTACAGGGGGAGTATCCAAAAATAGTTACAACATGTTATGGAGACTTTTTTAACAACTGTTTTGGCCTGGAGAGGCGCGGGGATGGACCGATGAGAGAGAGAGGCGCGGGGATGGACAGAGGCAAGTCCTCGGAGCTCCGGGGCTTCTCCTCGTCTGGGGCGTTCCAGACAGGGCCCTGCCTTCGCGGGCAGAAGGGGTTGTCATCTCTTCCGCGGGGGAAGGTGGCTGAAGGGCGGCGGAAGGCCGGCGCAAGTACACGAGGCCGCCTCCGCTGGCGGATGGCCGGCGAAAAAGTGGCAAAAAACGCCTCCAAGAGATGAAGACGTTTTTGGGTTCAGGGTCTCCGAAATCCGCCATCTGGCTCTGCCCTTGTCCTGCCTGCGTCGTCTGGAGGAGCGGGAGAGCTGGGAGGAGGGGTGCTGCTCCCGCGGGCGGGAGGGGCCCAGAGGGCGCCCTGGAGGACGACCCCTGGACCATCAGCTCGCCCAGCACCACCTCCGAGTGAGGGCTGCGGCGCGGCCCCCGCCGTTTGGGGGCTGGAGGAGGGAGACGGTGAGGTCTCTTCGGTGGCCGCACGTGGACCCTACCCCCACCCCACGGTTTCTAAGGGGGGGTGGGGGTTTTACTTCGTTCGGGAGCCCCCATGCGGACTGAAACCCTACCTCTCCTTAGAAATCGTCGGGGGTGGGGGTAGGGTTCACGTGTGGCCACCTAACCCTCGTCGCCGCCGCCGTCGCTTTCGTCGTCGTCGTCGTCGTCGTCGTCGTCGTCGTCGTTGTCGTCTTTGAGAGGTGGAGATGCTCCCGATGCCTATGTTCGTCCTGGAGTGATCTCGTCGCAACGGCTTGATTCTCACTGAAATTCTGGTCAGAGCGAGGCCCGACGGAGGTCCAGGGAGTATCGGTGGCGGCATTGCTTTGTCCCCCCCAGAGTAGGAGGACCCTCGTCGTCGTCGTCCTCCTTTCTTGCCCCCCTCGTCGTGGTTGTCATCCTTTTTGTTACTCCTCCTCTTCCTCCTCCTCCTCCTCCTCCTCTTTCTCCTTTGTGCCCCTCGTCGACCTTCTCCTCCTCCTCCTCCTCTTCCTCTTTCTCCTTTGTGCCCCTCGTCGACCTTCTCCTCTTCCTCCTCCTCCTCCTCCTCCTCCTCTTCCTCCTCCATTGCCCCCTCCTCGTCCTCAAAGGTTCCCGCTTCCACCTGGGGCAGGGGACGGGCGGAGGCGGCGTCGTCTCGCCATCCCCCCATGTCGCCCCCAGATTTCCGTCGGATTGGCGAATATGGTATAGGAGGGGACAAGCGCGAGGATGAGGGGGATGAGGAGGGAGAGGGCGATGAGGAGGAGGAGGAGGAGGAGGAGGAGGAGGAGGAGGAAGAGGAGGAAGAGGAGGAGGAAGAGGAGGAGGAGGAGGAGGAGGAGGAGGAGGAGGGGCGAGAAGGGAGCGGAAAACAAGGACATATAGTGGACGTAGTGGAATGGGAGCCACATGGATCTATACAGTTACAATGCTGAAACAAGAACCGATTTGGGCTCAGGAGTAGCCCTGGTTTTCGGGCCTTTCCTCAGACCTAGGTCGTGCAACGTTTTCGTGGCCAAGGCCTGACATGGTCACATAAACCCCTTCGTTGCTGAATGGGCACTTCTGATGATAACACGATGGCTGTGTTGGGGAGGGGAGGGAAGTGGAGGAGAGAAGAGTGAAGACGGGACGGGAAGAGGACGAGGCGGGAAGAGGTGGGACAGGGACGGTGTGTAAGGGGTCAGGAAGGAGAGGGAGGGCCCAGTGAACGGAAGAGGAAGAGGAGGAGGAGGAGCCAGGGTGACGCTGATAATGATGATGATGCTGATGATGATGATGAGGAGGAGGAGGAGGAGGAGGAGGAGTAGGAGGAGGAGGAGGAGAAGGAGAAGGAGGATATAGAGCATAGGGAAGATTGGGAGGGGAGGACGTAGAACGATGCCCAGAACTTGTGTTCATAACGGTTCTGCTGTCGCTTGTGTGTTCACCACCGCTCTCGTTATGTGCAGGCTTCCGGCCCAGCTTTTTTTGCACGCTCGCACATCCTTTGATTCATTGTTCTTGCGACTAGTATGCATCGTGCAAGGTTGGTTCAAGCGGCTTACTTCATTCCGCCAGCCCACAGACGAAGGGTGAGGTAGGGGCTGCATAGGATCCGTTTCCCAGGGGTCCTAGGGTTTGGGTGCCATTTGCACCAGGGCGGCGTCTTGGGAGGTCTCTTTCGGGTATGTTGGAGGATTTCGCGGCCATCTTATGGGAAAGGCACCGAGGATCAGTTTGTTGATCTCCCTCTTGGGCCAAGCGTGGGGTCTGTTGGAGGCATGTGTAGGGTTATGTAGTGGCTTTTGGCAGATGCCGTTTCTGTGCGTGGAGTGTGGGGTGACAGCTGATCGCATGTTGGTTGGGCTCTATTGGGAGCCCGATGGGGGGATTGCGGAACCACGTAGTGAGGACGGACATGGGATAGAACTGGGGGGGAGGAGGGGAGAACGAACAGGCGTCGTGGACAGTTGAGGCCGTCATTGGCGAACGTGGGGTCTCGTGACATGGGGAAATGAGAGACAGGCGACGGGGAGGAGGAGGAGGAGGAGGAGGAGGAGAAGGAGGAGGAGGATGAGGATGACCAGTTGAAGCCCAAGACTCATCAACGATGTTAGAATATAACGAATGTGATTGTTGCGTCCTGACGATCCTGAATCGTGCCAGAACACTATTTGTGGGACTCCAGCACCGCGAATCAGCGAAACTGCTGCGCCCTGGCAATCCAGAATCCTTCCAAAACACCGCTTCTGGTACTAATCATGGGAATCCGTGGAGCTCTGGCGAATGTTTACAACGAGTATGCGCGGCGAGAACCACATCTTGAACACATGAAATATCTTGACAAGGAAGCTCCCTCAATTCGTGAAGTTCTTGCAAATATTGAAGACGAATGTGCGTGGCGCTAATGCGAGAGTCACATTTTGGAAACGGCCATGGGCGAGGCGCTCAGGCGAGAGCAACTTTTTGAAAACCACCCGCCCTCAATCCGCGAAACTCTTTCACATGTTTAAGACGAGCGTGCGCGGCGCTAAGGCGAGAGCCACATTGCGAAAACCACCCGCCCTCCATTTGTGAAGCTGTTGCCAGTTTTGAAGGTTCAGGGTCATCAGTGGTAAGGAAGTCTCTGGCGAAACGCCCGGCCCGCCCTTTTGACCGGCCTCGAGGTGCGACAGGGAGGAGTTGTTTATAAGGAAAAGGAATGGAGGAGGAGGAAGAGGAGGAGGAGGAGGAGGAGGAGGAGGAGGAGGAGAAGGATGACGACGACGACGAGGCCTTTGAGAAGGTTCTTGTGGTCTGTTGCGGGTTTCTTGGAGGCATGTTTTGGACGAGGCCTTTGGGGAGTCTTTTGGGGTCTGTTATAAAGCTTCTGGGGGGCCTCTTGGAGGCCTCTCGGGAGGGGCTCTTGGGCGCCTTTTGAAGGCGCCCGGGGGCTTCTGAGGGCCTCTTAGAGCTTCTTGCGGGCTGCTTGGGCATGCTCGAGGTCTTGGGGGCCACCTTGTGGGGGAAGGCTCTTTGGGCCCCATTCGAGGTTGCCCTCTGGTGTCTTTTGCTCCTCCCGGGGCGCTATTTGGGGACTCGGGCCGTCCGGGGGCCCTCTCGGGCCGTCTTGGGGCCCTCTCGGGCTGTCTCCGGTCCTCTTGGGGGGCTTCTTGTGCCGTCTGGAGTCCTCGGGCCGCCAGCGAATATATGAGAATTCGAAAACCGTCAACATCCCAAAAGAAACCATCATAATAGCCATTCTTCTGGAGGCCTTCTTGGGAGCCCTCTTGAAGTTCTATCGGAGCGTCTTGAGAGCCCCTTGGGCCGTTTGGCGACACTGTTGGGGTGTCTCTGGAGACGATTCGGTACGTTAAGAGCTCTTCCTGAGCCGTTCTAAGACCCTGGTAGTCTTGCAGGCCACGGCGTGTGGATCTGAAACTTCCGAGGGCCCCCGAGGTGCGGTGGCGAGCCCTGCCCCCCCCCCCAGAATTGGACTTTTGACCCCAGGAGGAGGGGGAAGGGGGAGTAGGGGGGACCGCCAACCATCTCATACCCTTTTTCTCCCCCCTGCACGCAGGGGTCGCCGGCTTGCATCCATGACATCGTCCATACCTGTGCTTGTCCCAGCACATATCGCATGGTCCTGGATTTTGCGCACGCTTCTGCCGCAGGATTGTAGCACTGAGCACGTGATGGGTGCCGTTTCCGCCAGGCATCCCATACATGTTGATATTGCCACAATTTCCGAACGCACGGACAGCATGGTCTTCAGGAATCTGTCGCCAAGTCTATGCCTGTAGCGCGATGTGTCGTTGATTGGTGCCGTGTGTGTCTGGAACGCTGGTTTACAGCGCGCGCTGGATGCCGATCCTGGCGTGGGCTACATTGTATTTGCTACAGTCGTACCGAGGCATAAGATCGAGGCCGGTTCGGGGAGGATGCCCTGGTGTTCTTCGTGTTTGTTGGATGTTCTTGTGCGTCCTAGGGGAGGGTACCCTCGACTGTTCTGTGTGTTTTGGCCGGCGGAGGGCCTCGCGTTCCCGGAGGGTGTTCTTCCGGCCTGAGGGCCGGCTGTGCATTGCATCACGGTCGGGGCGTTCCTCAAGGAGTGTGCCCCGGAGGCTGCAGACCCTGGAGGCTTCCTTATCTGATGAGGGCGGCGGTGATATCCATGGCCGATCCACGATTGGAGTTCCACTGGCTTCCAGACCCTGGATTCCTCATCGAAGGTCTCCTTATCCAATGCCATCACCGTAGCCATGTGCCCTGCGTGGGACCCTCGCCGCATGTCGAGATCGGCTGCTTGTGCTCGAGCGCCTGCGGCCCCTCTCCCTCTGCGGGGCGGTGCCGCCGGCCCGCTGCAGCAGGGCACGCCAGCATTAGGTCGGGCCTGTCTACCCACAGGAGGAATATTAAAGGTATTATATCATTTTAAAAAACACACACATATATATATATATGTAAGGAAAACAGTCTGGGGAGGATTTTGGGAGTACGGCCCCTGCGGGACTGCGCGGCGCGGGGCGCCCCCAGCGCCATGCGGCGGGGGCGTCCGCGAGGGCACGTCTCACGGCGCCAGCATCGCAGAGCGGCTTCGTTCGGAAAACGACCGGATAGGCCGGGAGTGTGCTGGAGAATATCTTTCCGGATTTCGGCGTGAATTTCGCGCGGCTTTTCTTTGGCCAGGACTGAAGACTAACGAAAAATCCACGCAATATCCACTTCGTTTTTCGCTCGCCGCTTCGGGCAACAATCCACGCAGAAATCCACGCATAAATCCGCTGCAGCAAGTCTGCAAGGCCGGTGCAATGACATGTGCCCGGGAGGCTTCGTACCCCTGCAGGGCTCGCTTCGATGCCTCCGATTCGATCCGCTTCGATTCCGATATGGCCTCCGGCTCCGCTTCGATTTGGCTTCGGGTTCCGATGTGGGTTCCGATTTCTTCTGGGACGCATGCTAGCCTGCCGATTTCCGCCGATTCGACTTTTCCCGACTCGGCGGCCGATTTCCGCCGATCCGATTCATTTCGATCGCCGATCCGCCATGGCCAGGCCTCGATTGGTGTTCCACCGGCTTCCAGACCCTGGATCTCTCGTTTCCTCGAGTGCGTTTCATTATTTGCAAAATGCCTACTCGTAAACGTCCGGAGAAACACATGTCTGCATCGGTGTGATGTATAGTAAGTCCCCCGCAGCGGATCCAGGCCGTTTGCGAGCAGCTATTGTGCGAGTAGTGGAGCGCGCTCGTCTATTCAAGAGTTCCATATCCGATGCCCTTACCGTGCGGTCGGGAACTTCTGGATGACGTGTCGCTCCGCTGATTCTGGCCCGCCATCGGCGTCACCCCCACATACTAATACTACGTGTACGTCGCCCCCCCCCGGGGCGACGCGCTCACCGAGAGATCTTGTAGTTTTTGCGTCGTGGCGGGCGCTTTCTGGCCGCACCGCTCGGGAAGCGAAACACTACAGGATGGGTATACTATATGTTCAGGTCGGACGCGCGCCTCCAAGGACATCTAATATTTGTATGTCTCTGTGCGTCCCACACCACGCTTCGGCGCGACACGCTGTCCACCTTCAGTCCCCAGGCGTTCACGTCTCGAGCTTTTCGAGGCCCCCTGGCCCGCGGAGCGGAGCGACGCGCTATCTGCTTGCAAGGAGAGGGCGTGTCGCCGGGGCCGCCGCGACGACACGCAAAGCAAAAGTTCCCGACCTATCCAATGCCCTCACCTTGGAGTCCTTATTGCAGGATTCCTGGACTCTTTATCCAGCCTCCAGACCCTGGATCCCCTATCCAGCTTCCAGACCCTGGATGCCCTGACCCTGCATTCCTCACCTCGAGCGGGGCGAGGACAATGATACATCCGTTCCAGAGGTTTCCGAACGCTCTCAGAGCGCTCCGGAACGCTCTGAGAAGGCCGCGGCGCCCGATACATCCTAGATATTTGAGATTCCCGATTTACCCTTGTCCGATTTTATTATCGTGCTGGCATTGTTCTGTTGTTCAAGAGGCTTACGCCATTCCGCCGACCCCCAGACGAAGTGAAGCCTTGTCAAAGTTTCCTGGGCGCTTGCTGGCTGTTTCTTGGACGCCGTCGTGCGCATGTGATCCCTTCAAGTGTCCAGGTGCGTGGGATGAATGGCCGCCGCGAAGTCGCTACTACGCGCATGGGTCTCTTTTATCCTGGGTCTCTTTTATCCTGCGCTTCTCGGGAGGGGACGCTGAAGGATGTTGCGAGGCTCGCATGAAGCGAGATGCTCCTGGAGTGACGTCGCGGATGGTCGATAGAACATTCTGATCTTGGGATTCGGAGGATGAGGGGGAAGGAGGACAAGGATGAAGGAGTCGGTAACGACGACGGTGAGAGGAAGGAGGGACAGAGGAGGATATCGAGGACAACGGGACGGTTTGCAGTGCTGCCCGGCCTCTGTTGAGGCCCCCTTGTGTGCAGCGGAGGTGTGTGTTTGGGGATTCCTGGAAGCCTTGGGGGGGGGGGGGTCATTTCAGCACGTTTGAGGCCTCCTGGAGCTTCTGGGGGCATCTTCGGGGCCTGTTGGCAGCCCGGGGGCGGCCTCCCGGAGCTCTGTCGAGGCTCCGGGGGGGGTTTGGGGGGCCCTTTAAGGGAGCTGTTCGGCAGCCTCCCGAAGCCCGCTGGACGTCTTGGGGGCCACTTCTCATGGAGGGCGCCCAGGGCATCTGCGGGCCCCCCCTCTCGGGGCCTCCCTTGGGGCCACACTCGGGCTTCTGTTGCCGTCTTGGGGCCCTGCTGGGCCGTCTGGGGGCCCTCCTTGGCCGTCTCCGGGCCGTCTTGAGGGTCTCTTGGGCTGGCTTGGGCCAGTCTGGAGGGCTTCTTGGGCGGTCTTGGGCGTGCAGACGCCAGAGAGCCGAGAACGCGAAAATCATACAACGACTGATGGAAGATCTTAACTTTTTGCCGCTTGTGGCCCTCTGGGGTGCCCTTGGGGTTTCCTTTCGGCGTCTTCGTCTTCGGCCGTCTCGAGAGACCATCTTGGGTGTCCTTGAAGCCTCTCTGGCGTATTGGAGCTCTTCTGGTGCCGCCTCAGCAAGCATTTTGGGATCCTGGCGGCCACGGAGAGAGGCTTCGGAAGCCCCAGGGGTGCGTTGATGAGCTCGGGCCCCCCCCTCCCTCAAACCTGATTTTTGAGCCCGGGGGAGAGGAGAAGGGGGAGGGGACAGCTAAATGTCCCACTCGCCTTCTCATCCCCAGCAAGTGGGGCTCGGCGGACCCAGCTTCCAGACCCTGGGTCCCCGATCTCAGGACCAGATCTCAGGAGGGGACAAAGCACATAGACAAGAGCAATCGTCGATCCTCAGGAAAATATGGAGCATACGGAAGGGGATGGGGAAGACGGGCACCCATGAGATATGGGAAATATGGGGAGTCCTGGGACTTGTGCCTGTTCGTTTGTGCGTCCCTGGGCTCCTTCATGATCTAAGGATTCCTTATATTCGAAGAAGAGAAACGGCATAAGCATAAACTTTTGGCGCTCCGCGCGGATTTATAGGATCCGCGCCTGGGCGCCCCCGGCGGCGCCTCCGGCGCCGCCCCAAGGAGGGGGGTGCAGCGCGGATCCAAGAAGTCCGCGCGGAGCGCCACGAGTTGATGTATATGCCGTCTTGTGCTTTGTTATTCTTTTTCATATTCGTCTTCTTTTTCTTCTTCTTCGTCTTCTTCTTAGTATTACTATTTCTGTTATTCTCCGTCTTCTTCTCCTCCTCCTCCTCTTTCTTCTTCTTCTTCTTCTTCTTCTTCTTCTTCTTCTTCTTCTTCTTTATTATTTATGTATATATCTGTATATCTTGATATTTGTATATATCGGTGTATATGTATATATATATATATATATATATACCGTGCCCTCACCGGGCCACCGCCGGGGCTGCGCCAGCCCCCGCCGGGTCCTGGCGCAGCACGCCTCTCCCGCCGGGCGCGCGCCGCTGGGCCCCACTACAGTCTACAGCGCCCCGGGCCAGCGCGCGGCGCCTCCCTCCGCTGGCGGGCCACCGGCGCGCGCGAGATGCGGTCGAGCCTGGAGTCGGGCATAACCCTCTACAGGAGGAACCTTCAAACATAGTCATACAATCAGACGGGGACGATTTTTTATATTAATATATGTATATATGTATGTATGTACATATATATATATATGTATATCTTCAATGTTTTTTGAACATATTGTTGGCCAGTTTTTCGTTTTTCCTCCGGTATCCGCCTGTAGGAGGACATGCCCGACCCGAGTCGAGCATCGGAGCAGGAATCAGAGGAGGAGAACGTGCCCGTACCTCTACCATTCCCTCGTTTTCCCTTTTTTGGGCCTCCTGGGAGGCCCTCGCCGCCACCGCTGGATCCGCGCCGAAATTCTGGTCAGAACGCACCCCGGGAGAGGCTGGCGGTATCGCGGCATCAGTACATTTTGGCTTCTTCAAAGAAGCCTCATCCCGAAGAGCTGGGCCATCGTTTTTCAACACGCTTGCCAGAAGGCTGGCCCAGTCTCTCAAATAGCGTCGCCCCTATAGCGTAAACGAAAGAAGAAATTTGCCCAGGCTTCTTAGCATAAACTTCCGGGAAGCTGGCCCAGATGTCGTACTTGATGATTTTCTTGATCATATGTTCCGCTGTAGTTCGGTAGCAAATCGCGGGAACCTTGTGTGTCCTCGTAAGCCCGTCTTTAGAGTGCGCTGGCGCGCGCAAGCATATGTTAATCGACGGAAGACGCTGGTTTAGCGTCGATTAGCGCCGACCAGCATCGGATAGCGTCTATTTGCAAGCGCCAGCAAGATGGTACGGGAGGCTTCCAGGAGCTGCCACCGAATGTACGGAAAGATCACGCACTTCACCGACAGCAGCTCCTGCCTGCTTGTTGCCGTTGCTGCCCCGTCTCCCCCTTCCCCTCCCTCTTCCCCTCCCCCTCCTCCCCCTCTCCCCCCTCCAGCAGCACCCTTGCCGCCCTTGCGGCACGAAGGCCGCCCTGCGCGAGGCAGAGACACCTTGCAAGACGCTCTCCTGCCGGATTCCAGAACTCGCTGTCGGTGCCGCCGCAGACACTGTCCATCCGGGGCAGAGAGCCGTCTGCTCCACAGCGGCCCGTGTGGGCTTTGGACAACGCTTGCCGTTGCGGCGTCGTCCCCGCTGCTTCCGCACCCGTCTCGGGGGTGCCCAGGGGCGGAGGGCGGCGGCATCGACGGCAGGGGACCCGCGGGCATCGTCGTCGTCAATATCGGCGACGGCCGCCACGTCGAGGATCAGGTTTCTTGTTCGAGACCCGAGGAGGAGAGGGGGAAGAGGAGGAGGAGGAGGAGGAGAAGGAGGAGGAGGAGGACGAGGAGGAGAACGAGGACGAGAACGAGGACGAGGACG